TAATTTGTTACATTTTCCGGTAATTTTCGTAAATTGAGCATAATATTCGCTATAATTATTACTTTCTTAATCCGAGCCACTCAAATATTTTCGCTCACTACGAAAACAATTTGCCGATAAATTCGTTATTTTGCCGACAAGACGTTTTCAGAAGGGGTGTCACACCCTACACCCCCCTATAGCGACGGCCCTGACTGTAATTTATTCTCTGCTGGTACATAAGCAAATCACTTACAGAATCACTGTTTGTTTGTTGGCCGGTAGACTGCTGTTGCTGCATAGTTAACGGTTCCACCTTCCTTCCATCTTCGGGTAAGGTAACTGGTTCGGGTATTGCTTCAGAAAGCTCCAAGTTTAATTGTTTCTCTGCATTGCGAGCATATTGCTAGAAAAAACAAATGCGCAAATTCTACTATGAAATTAATAATTATGTCAAAGTTATAAAATTCTTGTCATGCATCCTTTAGTGTTTTGCACAGATGCCAAGCAACGAGCATCATAAACAAGTGATATCAAAATATTCTTTTATTGTCTCTTACAGTAGGCGTACTTACGTGAACCAACCGGAATCAGCACTTTTGTCAAAAGGAACACTTTTTCAGATTGAACAAGAGTTATTCCGCGGTCTCCTTTTACGGTCTTGTGTAGCGCCCATTCACTTGGACATGTGCAACTTTTTTGTTGGACCGCCATCTGATTCCAAAACTTTCACGATGCCTTGGACATACCGTAACGGCACGGCTGACATCGTCCACCTTAAAGATACCTTGAAAAATAAATCGAGCATGATTATTATTCCACTATCAGAAAACTCACGAAATTTAGGCCACTGTCAGATGGGGATCCTTCCACCGCTTGTAAAAGTTTCGACACTACATCTGAATCAGCTATGCCTAATTGTCGTTGAACAGGGAGTTTGAACAAATGAAACAAGAATATATCTAGTGACCAAGTGTGCACGATTTCTGATTATACGTACATGTAATAAAATTATTAGTATTACCTGCTCGTGCCAGCAAAAGCTTTTCCTCAGAGTTCACGCTAGTGTCCCACACTTTGTAGTGATTTAGATGACCTTTAACGTTCTTATCGCATTCTCCAATTGTTACACACTGAGTGGAAGATCTATCTTCTAAACTAGGACCACACTGTTCTCCTACAAGCTCTGAATATTGGCACAATGCCACTCGTGCACCAAGAAAAATGCATTAACTAAACTAGCAAAAATGCCCAGAGTTAGACACAATGCAAAATCCATAGAAAACAGGTACAATTCGTTGAAAATTTTAACGAAATTGTTGTTACTATTGAATTTTCGAAATCTCCGGCGCGCAATTTCCAAACTTTCCAGTCAGTAATAATATTTTGGTCTTTTGGATCTACATAAATTAAACTTAAAGTCAGATATCGCCTGCTTCTTTCGAGTCCACATCCTATTCCTATTAAATAGCATTGAAGGCATTGAAGGATTAGGTTCATTGGGACAAAATGTATTACCAAAAGCTGAAAAGGAGGAACTCAGTTTTCTGATATCGTGTGGAAGTAACTTGGAATCTTTCTTGGCACAATAACATATATTATTATTCCATGCAGTTCGCCGCCTTTATACTGCACACTGGTATGCAGATTAGTAAATATGACTAAAGCGTTATTGCGGCTATACATGGTTGTAGACGCAGGTCTAGCTAGTCGCTTGGTAATCATGCGAAATACCTCTCCTCTCACGAGACATTATTGTATTAGACAATAGACAGACGTTAATGCGTCTAATTTCGAGGCGGAGAATATTCTTGCCTTCCAGAGAGAATATTCTTGCCGGAGAATATTCTTGCCTAGCTAGCTATTATTATTTAATGTTCGGTTTTAACTTGGCCAGTTGGTAACATAACACTAGCCGATCTGTGTAATGACAACAGGACAAACGCTTATAATTTTAACACATACGATACACTAGTGATACTGTATGCCGTACATGTTTAATTTGTACTTGTTTTAACTATTAGCGCTAACTGCCAGGCAATTGCAAACTGAAAACTTCAAGAATCAATATTTTCAAAAAAACAAACACTCTCTTCTTTAATTAGTGATATTACTTGTACTTAAAGTTGCATATTTCCATCGCCCCAGCGACTTAACGCTCCGCGGAGCGTCTTGTTATCTATTGTTTGAAACAACAAGTTCGATCGTACTATACAGGGTGTCTCAAAAAAAACCAAAATCATTGAAATAACGTATTGTTCGAATTTCAATGCCGTAACACAAAGGATTTTGACAGGGTGATTAATTTGTTTTAAAAAATTAAAATATCTTTGTAAAGTGAACCTTTGTTTGCTCATGGGAATTTAAAAATGCTTCGTAAATTGTAATATGCGTAATATGCATTCGTGGGTTTAGTACTTTATGCCTGACATAACAAGTTTACGCTGAGTATTACCATTCATTATAGCAGTTATGTCAATCTTTTATGCACTCGTGGGATTAACTTAGTGCTAGGGCATTGAATATCGAACAATACGTCAATTTCAATGATTTTGGGTTTTTTTGAGACACCCTGTACAGGGCGTCCCAAAAAAAACGAAAACTATTGAAATCACTTATTGTTAAATTTGAATGCCCTACCAAACAGCTGGACGTAATGATGCGTAAAATATTGACAAGGTGCATGTATTAGAATTTAGTTAGGAGTATCTCCTGGTAAAGTGCGCGATTTTCTGCTCCTGGGAATTAAAAACAGCTTCTTAAACAGTTTCTTTATGCATAAAATTTACTTATGTCAATCATTTATGCACTCGTGGGAACCAACAGAGCGCTAAGGCATTCAAATTCTAACAATTAAATTGTTATTGGTGATTTCAATAGTTTTCGTTTTTTTGGGACACCCTGTAGTGGACCAGGAACTGCGTGACCCAGTTTCGATCTTGTGCAAATCGTTAAATGTTCAAAACCTTCGAGATTTGACTTGATAAACAAATAACTAGACACTTTAGACTCAAAAGCGTAGACTGCATGAGTTCGCTAAATATTTTGCTTTAATTTGGTCATGCAAATAAACTTTATCCGAGCAAAAAATGTGTCTAGTCATGCATGCATGCCGTGTATAAATGAGTGTAAATCTGGACAAAGCATATAGATAACTAAATGCGCAGTTTTCAAAAGTAACTATATACTCGTATTGGAATTAGATAAGTTAAATGTCCCACAATATTAAGACTAAACATGCCGTGTCTAAATTTAACTTTTGCCGTAACAAATTTTGCCGTGCCGTGTGTGCCATTACAAAATATTGCAGCTACAGTCGTGTATACGTGCTGTGCAAACGGGACTTAAGTTAAGGTAACAAATTATCTGAATTGTTGCTATACAGGGGGTATAAAAAAAGGAGACCTTTAGAAATCAACCATGCATATTGTTAAAATTTGAACCTTTAGAAATCAACCATGCATATTGTTAAAATTTGAATGCCTTTTCAATAGCACATATGCTGAACCGTAGTGCGTGAAATATTGATGGTGCATATATTAGAAAAAGGAGACCTTTAGAAATTGAAACAGTAACGTTTAAACAAAAGATTGTCTGCTCTTGGGAACAATCTGCCATGCATACTTTACGTAGATCGCATGTTACGCACTCGTGGGCTTAGCAAAGTGCTCCAGGATTCAAATTATAACAATGGTTGATTTCTAAAGGTCTCCTTTTGCTAGCTTTAGCATATGTGCAATTGAAAAGGCATTCAAATTTTAACAATATTTGATTTCTAAAGGTCTCCTTTTTTTATACACCCTGTAGTATAGGTTAATGCAGTTCATTTCGCTTGGTAATGGCTTCATAACTGCATGTATGCTTGTGCTAAAAACAAATTGACATGTCTTTGTTTTTATGGTTCGCGATTTTCTGGCTATGCATGATTATAAATATTATATGATAGCCAGATAGGAGTACAGTACTCCTCTGCGCTTTGAGAAACTAAGCCAGCGTGTTGAATTAGTCAACTTAAGTCTTAACGCTTATAATTTATCGTTATAATTAGCCGTCCACATTCTTGAGAAGCTTTAGACTATTGTGATTGTGTTCACAACGAACAATAGAAAAGACAATGTCTTTCTTATCATTTGCGTTTGCTGATATATTTGCTGAATATTAATGATATGTATATATTAATTGCTACGAATACAGTCAAAAATTGCTTGTATTTCGCTTCTAAAGTCAAAAATGAAAAATCGAACACCGTCAATCGATGCGGAATATTGCTTAGAATAATTATGTCAAGTTTCATTCCGATCGGATAAGTAATGACGGAGCCTTAGGGTTTTTTCAAAGAGTGTCGCCCCCTAACAACAACAACAACAACAACAACAACAACAACAACAACAACAACAACAACAACAACAACAACAACAACAACAACAACAACAACAACAAGATTAGCAGCAATTGGGGACCAGTTCCTGGTCCAAAAATGTAAACAAAACACGCGCATGAGCAAAACGGACTTGACAGCCTCTTTTAGAGTTTAAAGTTTCGAAGGTTTAGAGTTTCGAAGGATAAGCTTTTAGCTGTATATATTTGTCCCCGAGCTAACGGGCGTATGCCCGGAGCGAGGGTACTAATTCCGCCCGGCTATTCACACCTGGGAAAACGAGAGCACTAGCAAAGTCTAGCAAAGTCTAAAGCTCATCAATGATCGTGGACGTGGGTTACCGTGCGTGTTTCGGCTTTTCGGTGGGTGGTTATCCTCACTGATCTCAAAAATATGGCGGACTGTTATGAATAGCGAACACTGATTGGTCAAATTTATAACTTGCATTATATTAACGACATACGACAGCGAAATAGCAAAAATTTCTTGATTTGATGATTTCTTGCAAATATATTTCATTCTCGCAAGATTTTGTAAATTTCAAAATCTTTTTGGGAAAATAAAGGCGAAAGAATTGCTAGAATGGAGTAAAGGCGCCGACGTTAACGAAGGTAAGTCTGTTCTAAATATTGATGTATTGTTCGCTCTACAATTGTTTTAAAGCTGATTGTTGGCTCGATCGTTGGCGTTGCGTATATTTTAATTGAAAAAAGACAGTAGCTATATAATTTCAGTGTTTCTTTATTGATTACCCTTTTTTATTATAATAAAATTTTTAAATAAAAAGAAAGCAAAGTTATTTGAATGCGAGAATTTGAAATGATTTTATTTCAAACTGAACGTTTTTCGATAAAGGCAGTTTTGCCTTATGTTTATAAAGAACATTTTAAAACGTCTTGCGAAGCGTTTGAGGTTGAATTATATTAATTATGTATAATAACATGTCTAACATACATATGATTGGGGAATTGTCTAACATATATATAATTTTGTATGCATGTATTTTCTAGTATACTTATGTTAAACCATAACGCTGGGTCCTTATTTTCATGAAGAATACGTTTTCCGCCTGGAAAATCGCTCCTGCATGAACAATAGTATACTCAGTGGCGTAACGGAACCTTCTGAGGCGGGTGGGGCCCTATTTTTTCCCAAAAAGGGCTGGGGAAGAAAAAAAATTTCGAACTATATTCTTTAAAAAAATCACAAACATTTTTCCCCATCCATGCCTAGCAAAAAAGGGGGTCTAAATTTCACAATTTCACCAATTCGTGCTTTTGGGGGCTACCCTTTGCAAATTTATCGACCCTTTATAACTTGCTCTGGCCAATTTTCCCAATGCACTAGCAAAAATTTTATGGTCATTTTTGCCTGCCCCCCCCCCCCCCCCCAAACACCCTCCAGTTACGCCACTGAGTATACTGAATACAATCAATATTTTCGAATTTCCCGCAAATGTGTGGAGGAACGAAATATTGGTAAGTAACCAGCATTTAAACTAAATATCAGTTAAGAAGGTGCACTTGAGAAAATTTTGCTCCTTCAGTTCCTTATTGTCTCAAGTGTTTTAAATCCATGTAAGATAAAAGCAGCAATTTCGTGAAAACTAAGCAAGCACGATTCAAGATTGCCAATAAATCAACGTTTTTGTTTATAGATATTCCCGCTCGTTGTTGCATGTTTCGTCTTTGCAGATGCACGAAAATTCGACAATTTCTTTTGGGATGATTACAGGTATTTTATGATTGAGAAAACCCAGTATAATAGTATAAACTATTGCATTATTGAGGTCAGTTTATACAACCGGGCTCTGCATTTCTTGGCTTGGTGCCCTGGCGTGAGTGAGAACTTGAAAGAAAAAAGCTTAAGCAAAAATATTCAATTTTCGGCAATATGGTAACCAGTATTATTATACATTTAGCACCGTGTAATTCTTAATATTCGGTGCTTATTGCGTAATTTCAGCTGTCGATGTGCTCAGCGTCCAATAATATATTTTTTGGAACAAACTTGCATCCAAAAAAAATTATTGGACGCTGTCTTACACAAGCCCCGGCGCGGCCAACAACTCAAACCCAAGAGCGCGAGAAAATAAAGTAGTATTCTTGAAACATTAATAAATTTCGTTTAGTCGTTTTATCAGTACGTTTCTGATGTCTTTAAATGTATAATAAAACAATTATTGGATTCGGCTTTCGCATGACATCAAGAATTATTCAGATCGAGGTCAATGTTATCCGCCTCAACAGCTGGGCATTTTGTACGGAGTATTTATTTGGATATTTGAATAAAAGAATGTGAAATAATAATTGAAACTTGTCCAAAATTTGATACCAACACTCAAGTGAACAGATACTATTACCTAAAAATAAAAGAAGACAGAACTTAAATTTGTCATATAATGCTATGAAAAAATCTTAGATACTACAGGCATATAGTGAGCACAATTCTTTAACAAACTCACTAAAATAAGTTAAGTTATGCTATGATAAGAGGATGGCAATATATGACAACATCAAATGTTACCATCTTCAGTGTCCAAAAAATTTTTCCCAGCATACCCACTAACTTTTCCATGAAGGTTGACTAATAAGGATAGTTTTAAGCCATATTTCGGAGAGAGGCAATGGGCAAAATTTTAACATGAGATATTTTTATTTATATGCCATATCACCACAGAATTTCACAAAGCAAGCATGCCTATGTTCAGGATTGCCGTTAGACTCTTAAAACTGAACAAATCAATGCGGCATTTCTTATCTCATAATTTGAACATTTTCAAAATCATTTTTGCAGCAATTTTTACTTTATAACAAACCAATACAGGAGCAATTTCATAAGCATGTGACAACATGACATTTTCACTTCACAAGTGGATTTGTCAATTACAACATCTAGCACATTTTCCCCATGAATAGCTCAGGTTTTAATAAAACAAAGTACGATTTAACTTTCATAAAATATATTTTCTAACTAAAGGCAACGGCCAGTTTTTACGAAATTGCAAGAGGAATATGTGTAATTTTCATCAAAATATGTATTTTAAGATACTTATTATTCCAGATGAGGAAGGACAAACAAATTATTGAACATACCTGTGGAAACAACAACAACTCAGCTTCTATCAAGAGTAAAATATGAACACTTCCTTGTTTCCATACTGCTGTACCCTGCTTCTGAAACTCTGACAATGAGTGAAACATTTCCACTTGTCGCCCATTTGTAAATAAAAATTCTTCGCACGTTTTCATGCGATTAAGTCGTTATATCGTTGCATACAAGCACTACAATTAATCTTTCAAGAAACACTTTATTTTCCATGAACAAACCAGTAAAAGAGGACAAAAAATCCTCTCACAATGCATATTTTCAGCGTTCGAAGAATCAAAATGTTTGTTAAAGAAATGCGCCCGCAATATTTAGACAACGACAACAGAATGCCCAGCTGTTATCCGCCTCAGCTTCGCTTCGGGAGATAACATTAACCTCAGTCTGAATAATTCTTGATGTCATGCTCGGCCTCAGCCAATAATTGTTTATTAGGAAAGCTTTAAATTGAGAGAGATAAAACTATTAATACCTTAAAAATAAAAGGAGAACTTATCAATCCCGAAGCTGTCTTATTATTGGCTCCACCTTCACTGACATAGACCGTTTAAGTAGTTTTTAAGTAACCATGTCGGTGAGGTACTTCACTTAGGCTGTATATCGTATTGATTGCAGATCTACAGATTGGTGTGGGTTGGTGTGTTTTTCCCCAACTTTATCTCAAAAGTTGTTCAATAAAACGGTTTGAAATGTTGCTTGTGTAACGTACATGTAAAACCTACCAACTAAAAATCAGGTTAAGACTAAATTATCACTTCAATGTTTTTGCGGTATCTATATGTATAAACAATGTTTAACTTAAGCATGGTACCTACTTTTAATAGAGACGTTGAACAGACAAAGCGTGAAGGAGCATCAATGTGTAAACTATCAGAATATAAGGAAACTATAACCCAGGGCCGGATTAACCTTTCGCGGGGCCCGTGGCATTTTTTCAGCGCGGGCCCCCTACAACCCCCCCCCCCGGCGGGCCCGAATTCAGAATTCCCTGAAATCAGAAAAATTAAAAAATATCAATATGTATACCATGATGTGAAAAATTGCCTGTATATTAAAACAAGAACGTATGTACATCAATTTGAACTGTCATACAACCCAACTTATAGCAATAACAATAATTTAACAATTATTAGAGAACTTAATAAAGTAAAAGTCAAACTTAGTCAACCGACTAAACATTCATAAATGTCATATACATGCTCCAATGCGGCGATGCTCGGCATGTAAAATGTTCATGTGATGTAACATATCTTTTATTAAGATCTCATTCTGCAGAGGCTTTGTAAACGTTGTGCTTACGCGATTTTTTAAGAGCAAACTCGTTAATTATCGACGACATGTCAATGCTACGCAGAAGATCACTTTCAATACTAAGTAGAATAAGGCTGTTTAGTCGCTTCTGTGTCATGCATGATCGGAGCTGATTCTTAATTAGCTTAAGTTTAGAAAAGGACCGTTCTCCAGAACAGTTCGAGATCATGAGACTAAGATAGATCTACAATGCGATTACAGTGTTCGGAAATACAGTTTCCAGATTGTTCTCCAGAAGAAGCCTGTACATGCGCAATTCCAATGAATCTACGTTCAATGTGACGTCGTTGTCATCTTTCGTTAAGTCATCTTCGTCGTCAGATTCATGTATTGTTCATAGCTGGTGAAGAAGTTGCAGAAGCAGTAGTCACATGATCCAATGATTTCATAGCAAAATCTGTGCGGAGAAAACCAGAAAACTGTACTAATTCATCAGACAAACTGGCTTCTAAATCTGTCGGGTATGCCTCTTGGAGAATCTTCGCACTTTCGACCACTTCTTCAACTGAAAGGTCCTTGAGCTTTCGTAGAAAGCCAAACAATTCCGGTGTATGCGCCCAACTCAGCGTCAATTTTGTCGATTATGACAAGGAACGTATCCGTACGGAACTTATTGGCGGGGGTCTGCGACACTTCCGGCGCAGATCCTGGCTCGTCGTAACGGCGATTTCTCTTACGCACTCGTTTCTCTTCGCCGACGTACTGGTCACATTGACTGAGCTTCTTTCCCTCAGCCTCAAACTCTTCAAATCTTGCACGCTGCTTACCGATAAAATCCATGAGTGATTCATAGATTGCAACTGCGGAGTTGAGATCTTGGTCGGCTGATTGCAGGGCTTGACTGTTCGCGTGAAAACGATGCAGGATGTGATGCCACAGAGCTGCCAGAATCCCGGTTTCGAGTTGGTTCATTTTGGTTGCAAGTCCACGGGCTTCCTCTCGGGTTTCGGCTTTCTTCTCTTCGTCGTCTGCGATTTCTACCAATGCGTCGTTAATTTCATCATAGCCCTTGACTAGAGCCTTTGTGGCGTCTGCGCGTGCTGATCAGCGAGTATCTGACATGCGTTTGACTGTTGGCAGGCCCTCGCTTGACAGTTGATCCATCAGAACTTTCCAACGATGCGGTGAAGCAGAAAAGAAGGAGTATAGTCCTTGAAGGAACCTGAAGAATCCAATGGCCAGCGTGCAACAACCTACTGCAGTCTGACCAACCAGATTGAGGGAATGTGCGGCGCAGGGTACATACTCAGCCAGATTACATTGTTGCCGAATAATGGCCTGCATGCCATTATATTTTCCGCTCATATTGCTCGCATTATCGTAAGACTGACCGCGGCAATCGGCAATAGCGATGTCATGGGCTTTCAAAAACTCGAGCAAGCTTTCTGCTAGTTCTTTTCCAGTGTGACCTTGCATGTTAAGAAAAGTTAAATATCGTTCAACAGGACCTGGTGGTAAAACGTACCGAAGAATGCAGGTGAGTTGGTCAACATGGGAAATATCAGGCGTCGAATCCACAGAAACTGAGTAATACCTGGCGGACTTCACCTCCGTAACGATATACTCGCGTACGCGATTTGCTAACAAATAGATAAATTCATCGCAACGCCTTTTGATTTCTAAGACCTCACGTTTTTTTTATTTTGGTCCGATCGCTTAAGCTTTAATAAAGGCCTTGCTTTTTATTTCTGGGGCCTCGCTTTTTGGAGTAACGTTATTTTTCTTTTGTGGCCTTGCGGCTTTTGGCGCCCTTTTTTAGTCTAGCCACGCGCCAAAAAAAAAAACTGAGTAAAGCGCGGGGCCCCTAAAAGCGCGGGGCCCGAGGGCAGAAGCCCCTTCTACCATATGGTTAATCCGGCCCTGCAGTATAACCACAACTACCGTACTAAGAACACATTACACGAGAAATGCGAAATGTGAGCCCAGAAACAAGAAGATTAAATTAAGTGGCAATCGTACGTTTGAATGCAGACCAATATATAAAGCACAGGTTAGATTAAAAGAAAGGGATTCCAGGGTCGGACTGGGAAACAAAGTATATTACTGTCGGCTGTGAAGTTTTCGTCTTCCACTAGAAGCATGCTGCAGAACAGAAAAAAGATGCTGGACCAAACTTCGTGAATGGAACTTGTATGAATTATTGATGAAATTTATGGATATATTTATAATAATTTATATCGTATTTAATTTATTTATGATCGATGACAAATGTTCAGAACTTATTTTGTATAGATATTATATTTCATAGTTGTAAGTAATGAGGCAGTAAATGGAAATTGTGAAATTTCATATTGAATCTAATTTGTTTTATCTTCCTTTCCTTATTTTATCCCTGGATTTATCACATGCCATTATTTACCTATTTAAATTTTTATTTGAGTCGAACCCTTAAACTGCAAACACGTCTCTTATGTAGGGGTTGTTTTATACGAGTCCGGATAGTCGGGATCACTGACGGCCGGGTAGAAACGTTAGTTGAGCTGAAGCGCCTGAAACATTAGCAAGTAAAAATTGGCGGGAAAATTTTGTTATATTGGGCGAATTTTCTATTAAAGACTATTTTATCAGCAAGATTAACTTAAAAAATAAGAGGTTATCCAGAAAGTTATCCATCCCTGTAAATACGAGGTTTTGCGCTAGCCTGATTATTCGTGCTGGTAACTTTACAGGAACAAATTTCAGCCCTGCAGCTGAGCCAAATGGGGCCGATGTCTGCGGAGGAGGCTATGTTGCACCGTCCTCTACACCCAATGTTAATTATAAACATTATTATATATTTTTTGTTTGTGCATGCCAATTGACATTTTTTGATTTCCTGCAATCTGATTGGCTGCAGCAGCGGGCAGCTTTTTACAATATCTTGACCGTGGTCCAAAAGAGTTATTTTTAGCGACAAACCGAGGAGCGAAGACAATTTTTAAACTCAAAACACTACTGACTCAACAAATCGAAAAAGATGTCCCAAAAATATTCCGTTTGGCTTCTACTTTGAATTATTATTATACAATAACATTTATAGAATATTTTTGACATTTTTCACGCAAGATAAAATTATTATAACTGTAAATTTTTTTGTACCTGTAATACGTCTTTGATAATGGCTGCCGTGTAGGTAGCCGAAACGTCACGGAAATAATTAAATAAATTTAATCTGGATGATCGTACAATAAACTAAATTAATTTATAGAATATATAATTAAAATTGTTATCATTATATAATTGATTGCAAATCTGCAATTTATATTTATATTAATTGCAGGTCATGTTAGCCTGCAGTGATAGCAAGAGAAGTGGCATTTTGTAGCTCCGCTAATTTTATAAAATTAGAAAATCTATCTGAAAATTTCTTTTGTTCTATCGCGATTTACTGAATATATAAATGTCTTTTTTAAACTATATCTGACGACAATGGCAAAATATCTGTAACTAACAACACAGTACACTGATAATGCGAAATGTGTGCCCAATAACATGATTAAGTTAGAAGGCAATCGTATGTAGTCGTTTGAATGCAGATCAATAGAGCACAAAATAATTGAAAGGATTCCAGGGTCGGACTGGAAACATAAAAAATTACTGTCGATGGTAAAATTGTCATCCCCGCTCCCCCTCTTCAAAATCTTCCATACCTGCATGATGTAATTAAGATTCGGAGTGCTATTCTCTGAAGAACTATCCTCTGAAGAAAAGGTTGATGCTTTTAGACAGGTTTCTTCTTTCATTAAGAGTTTTTGTACGCCATTCAACATGGCTTTTGCTGCAACTTTTGAATGTGTTTCATGACCTCATTCTGGCAATGAAATAGATCTTCTTTATCTTGATTTTGCTAATGCTTTTGACTCCGTATCCGTCACAGCAAACTCTTGTTTAAACTAAAATCTTTTGGAATTTCCAGTCAATTTCTTACACCCGTTTTCAAAATATGCGACCGGGCTGAAAATAGCTGGAGTTAACATGTCAGTTTTATGTCACACGGTCACGAAGTTCAAACTGTTTACAACTTTTAGTTTTGCGGTTCATTATTGACGTCTATGCTTTGCATATAAAAAGTTAAGAAGGATTTTCAAAATATTTGTGTGACGATTATTGCAAACTTTAAGCACAACGAAATGTTTATCATAATATTACCGCTATAGTCTAGCGCAACTGCGCATGCAAGCGGGTTTGATACACATTAAATTCGACGTAAATTGTTCTTTTTCAAACTTTGAAAGTCATTCACGCCACGTATTTCTGTTGTGATGACTTTTTGTTCCATTTAGTTTGTATATTTAGCTCATTTTGATTCAATATTCTTCTTTAGGTATTAAATTCAATTTAAAATCACTCCTCTTTACGTTTACTATTTTTAGCATTTCGTGTGACATAAAACTGATATTTGAAAAAAGATTATTTTCGAGTATAGGTCGCGTAATTTTGAAAACGGGTGTAACTGGTTCGCTAATTACTCCATGATCAGAAACAGTGTGTCGTTATCGAGGTAGTGTCATAGGTCCACTACTTTTCATTTTGTATGTGAATGATCTTCATAGGTAACTGAGAATACTATACTGTTGCACTTTTTGCTGATGACAGTAAATGTTACAGTGCAATTCAGTCACCAGCCAATCGAGATCTCCTACAGACTAATCTTGACTCTATGCACAACTGGTCGATCTCTTGGCAATTGAAATTTAATGTATCTAAGACGCTCTTGCTCAGGGTACTTCGGAAACGCAACTCTCCAACTCACTCTAACCACTTTAACGGTCAACCTGTTAAGACTGTAGCCAATCAAGTCGAGGGGTGTGGTTGTGAGCAATGACCTTAAGGGGTCCCTCACACTACCAGCTGTACTGCTAAAGCCAATCCGTTTGCTTGGTTTTCTTCGCAGAAATTATTCTCAAATTACTGATCCTCGCTGCCGTCGTCTTCTCTATCGCTCCTCTATCTCTCACTCATCCGATCTCACCTGTCTTACGTCAGTGAGATCTGGGCACCTCAAGCCTTGTAACTCGATCTTGCGATCCTGCATGGAGGGTGTTCAGAGGCGAGCTACTAAATTTATACTTCCAAATTATGAGTTGTCTTATCTTGAGCATCTTAGGAAACTTAATTTATTGTCTATATCTTACTGGCTTGCAATAAAGGATTTCATCTTTTTTTTTCAAATGCAAACAAGGCCTCCACGACGTAGATATCTTCTCTTTTGTCACCTTTTCTTCTAATCGCTCGTCTTGCAACCGTTCAAGTAAGGACAAGTTGCTTTAAGTCAATCCGTGCAAAACCTCTCTTTTTAGAAACTTTTTTTAACCGAATTGTCTTTCTATGGAACAATCTCTCTCCGATCAGTCGTAACAGTTCGACTGTTAGCTCCATATTCACTGCTCTTCTCAATTAGACTCTCCTTTCGATGTCAACAGAATGCGCACTTGGAAAACCTACAGCTTTAAATGTCGTTCTTTGATCTTAAGCTGTTGCTCATAATCTGACCTATTAATTTTTATACAGTAATGTAAATAGTGTTCTAGTCCTTGTCTTTATAAAAGTATGTCTACTTGCTGTTTTGTATCAGGTTGGTCTTCACATGGGACTCATGTCCTGTTGACCATACCTTCATTGTTATATATTTTATAGCACTTTTGTATGATTGTAAAGCTAATAAATAAATAAATAAATAAATGATTGTAAGAAGTATCTATCAATTATCGCCAAAAAAGTATTCATGACGTAATTATCGAAAGGGTGTATTGAAATCGTGGAAAAATCACTCAGAAATGCTGCCATAAAATTATCGCACAAAAATTGTCACGTAAAGAATGTCGCGAAATTTACATCATTTTTCATTCCGCAATCCATTCCGCAGGCCATTCTGCATGCCACTCCGCCAGAACCACTCCGCAATGCCATTCCGCCTTTTACATTCGCCCGTTTTATTGCATGGCGTTGCTAATATTAATGTTGCACCACCTGTCAATCAAAGTGGCTCTCCACCAATGCGGATTTGTGTTGCCCAGACAACACGAAAATACAAAATATTATAGTTTGTTGGCTCGCCGTATTCCTAGCTTCATCCCGTTACTCCCGTAAGCTCGGCCCCAAATACGGCCAAAGCTCCGCTGGCTAAAGGTAGACCTGCTTCTTCATATCTAAGTCTGTAATATAAAAACACGCGGGCTTTTTTACCCCAAATTATGAGGCATGCGGGAAAAAATGCTTTATACATTTTCCGGATATAGCTACAATCTTGGACAAAACCTTTGAGACCATTCCAGCTAATATTACAAAGTTATTGAACATTGACAAAACAAATTTTGTCTCCCCCTTCCCCCCAGTTCAATGTTGTGAACAACGTCGAAACAACTTTTGGTAATATACCAAGATACAAGCTCAACATTGAGTTGGGGGAGCGGGGGTTTAAGAATGGCAACATGATT